CTCCGATCTTTCCTTTCAAATCCAAAAGCTGAAGCCCTTACAAAGGCCTATAAGCCACTCCTCTTCCCCTTGACCACCCTGACCTCATTTTCAAATTCTATCCCCACCCCCCACGCCACTCACCTTTTTTCCAGCCATACAAGCCTCCTTTCTATTCTTCAAACACCCTAGGCAGCACTTTCGTTCCCCTGCCTGGAAATGCTCTTCTTCTAGATATCTGTATGGCTCACACTGTCACCTCTTCAGGTTTCTGCTCAAATGCCCCCTTTCCAGCAACGCCTTATGGGGCCTCTTGATCTAAAATTGCATAGTCCTCCCTCCCACTAGTACTCTTTATTCCCTGCTTTATTCTTCATAGGGCTTATTACCATCTAACACACTATATATTTTCTCTACCATCTGTCTTTCACCATTAGAATGTAAGTTCCAATAAGACATGGATTTCTTTTTGTTTTGTTCATGGCTGATTCCCCAGTACCTAGAATAGTGCTTGGCATATAGTGAGCACTCACTAAATATTTGTTGAGTGAATGAATGCATAATAAATGAATTACACCTTTCTGGTTTTTATTGACTTCTTAGGTTTACATAAGAGACATCTGCAACAAGAAAATTATCTGTGAATTGCAGAGAAACCTAATGGGCCAGAGAATGAAACTTGGCTATTCATGATTTCAAAGTTACTTCTCAAAGAAAGCAGAGAAGATGGTGCCTTTATGAAATATTTGAGGACCACTGGGACAACCCTTGTGGGTTCCCTGTAAATAGTTACCTTATTCCCTTTATAGAGCCTATAATTCTACCATTACAAATTTAAAATTGTTATAAGTATATATATAACAACATCTACTGACTCAACATTTTCTACCATTATAATTCAATGGCTAAAATTCACATGCTTTTGGAATATGTAGTATATGCCTTTCAATCATTAGCACTTTGGTATGATTTTTTGGTGGCAATTATTTGCAGTGTGACAGTAGTGAGCACAAGATTTGATTATAGGAGGTAATATAGGGAAAGAGAAGGCTGAGTGGACAGCCTAGGTGAGTCCTGGGAAACCAGGAGGCATCAGGAGGACACTGTGCTTGGGGAGAAGGAGTGAGAGGTGCTGAAAGCCTGGATGAGAGAGCCTGAAGACAAATACCACTGTACTAACTTCAAATTTTGTGGTAGGCTGCCCAGCAAAGGTAGCTTCTTAGACAGGTATGTGATGCAGTGGAAAAGCATTAGCTTTGGCATTTGAGTCTTGGGTTCAAATTCTGCCTCTGCCTCTTTCTGGCTGTGTGATCCAAGGCAAGTCACTTATCTTCATCTTTCTTGGTTTCCTTATTAAAAAATACTTCTAACAATATCTGTTGTGCACAGTTGCTGTGGGGTCTAAGTGAAGCAATATATATGAAAGCACCTCATGTCATGTCTGGTATGTGGTAGATCCTAGTTTACTTTCTTTCTAAGCAACCAAAATAATTACACTCAGCTTCCATGGGCACATGATGAGAAGCAAATCTGTGCTGCAGGGGAACAATAAGCTTTTACCATTGTATAGAACACTATGCTTTGCAAAGCTCCTCCACATCCTGAGAGTGGGCATCATCACCCTCATTTTCAATATGAGGATAATGAGAATCTGAAAAATCAACAGTGACTTATCACAGGTTACAGAACTGGGACTCAGGCTCAGCCCCACAGTTTCCAAGTCCCCTTCCATTTCTGTTTCCTTTCCCCTTACACCACAGCCGACTTGTCCTCTTATTCATTCATCAAATATTTATTAAGTGTCTTTAACGTAGTTGTGGATACAGTAAGTCCTTATCCTTATGGAGCAACAGTAAATAAGCATATGATGTGTCAGGTGGAGATGTGGGCTATAAAAAATAAGGCAGGGTAAGGGGGCTGGAGAACAACAGGGGTGGTTGGGGAAGGCCTTGCTGGAAGTGACATTTGAATAAATACCTGAAGAAGGAGAGGGAGAAAGCTATGTGATGACCTGGGAGAAGATGGTTCCAGGCACAGAGAATCACAGGTGCAATGGTTTTGCTCTGGGAGATGCTCATCATGAGCTAGAAGAAATACTAGCGATGCCAGGTAAAGTCCAGGGGGGTGAGAGGAATGGGAAAACTAGCTCTTAGAATTTTAGAAGCACGATGAGGGAAGAGAAGTCCAGGATTTTGTGGACTTTTCTTCCTTGGGGGAAGAGGTATTGCTCTGATCATCTAGACCATTCTGAGTTAAGGGACCCTCAGGCCCTGGAGATGTATGTGAGGGAAGAGCCTCTTAGCGCCTTCTGGGGAATGAGAATGCCTCTTTGGGTAACTGGTTTTGGAGTGGGGGCAGAAGCTCTTCCGTTGTGAAAGTATGGGGTGGGGGCAGCAGCTGGAAGGGAAGCAATGTAACTATTGTTTCAGACTCCACAGGCAGCTTGGAAAGGAGCAGATTAGAGGCCTGAGGAGGAGGCTGGACCAGGCAAGATAAACCTTCACATGTGCCCAGTAGAGCTGCAACCCTGATAGGACAGCGGAGTTCTTAAGAGCCCAGATTCTGGAATCAGACTGATGATTCCCATCTTGACCTGGTCCTGTCCTAAGCTGTGTGATCTTGGGAAACCCCTCTGAGATTCAGTTTCCTGATCTGTAAAATACAGATAAAAGTACCTGATTCCAAACGATCATCGTGAAAACTGAATTAAATGGCATTCTCCAAGTACCTAATCCAGTGATCTGACACATAGCAGACACTCAAAAAGTTGTAATACGTATTATTCTAAGTTCATCTCATGGTCCAGTTTCATTAAAATGTTCCCAACTACCTTGGCCGCGTTCTAAGCTCCTGTAGCACATGTTCTCATTGAGGTACTTCATTCCATGCTGCTTTGGTTCTGGTTTATGAAGTTAAGCGGTGCCCCCCAAGCTTATCTACCCAGAGAACTAAAGGTGTGGTGGATCTAGGACTGTGGAATTATGTGGACCTGATCTGTTAGTTTTGTGCTACCCTGGAGCTCTGTAAGTAAAAACTTGAAAGAAGCTCCTGAAGAAAGAAAGCATCAAAAGGAAGTAGACTTCTGAGAAGATAAAGGCCCTGGGTTTGAAGTGATAGCTCTTTAATCCAATATTAGTTGGCTAAAAAGAGGGCACGATTAAAAAATATTCCAGATCTCCCTGTTACTGGGTGTTCTCTATCTTTTCATTTCAAATGATGTTGGAATGCACCAACTCAGGGTTTCCCAGACTTCAACTAATCCTATCTTATTTTGTGGATTTTTGTTATATCCATCTGTGGTATAATTTGCTTAATAATTTTCTTTAAATTTATTCACTTTTTCACTTAAAATATAATTAAAAAAACTTTAAATCACATGAGTTGGTGACCTAGTTCTATTATTCTGATATCATTCAGACATAAAGCAATGGAAATGATAAGAAAGTCTATTCATATACCACCTAAAATCATGAGGTGTGTATTCTACACTTACGAAAACACTGGACCAAGGAAGTCAATAAACAGAGGACTGTGATTCATTAGGAAGAACTTGGCAAACAAGGGGAGGTGAGGGAAATCAGTCACTAACTTTGTCTTTGATGAGAGCATGGAGAAGCTCTTATTTTAGCCAGAGGTCTAAAGGCAAGGGTCTGAAGTCTTTAAATTTTCAAAATCTTACTATGTTTTTTTTTTTTTTTTTAATCTGAATTTCTCTGCTCTGATTCTGCTAGCGCAGCTTTGGGTCTCTCTTTCTTTCTGGATGTGAAGTCCCAGCCCCACTTTTCCCCATAGTGTGAGGTTGGGGAATACCTAGCCCCTGCCCTTCCCTGTCCCTTCCTCTGCCTTCAATTCTATGCCTCACTCACTTTGTACCCAGGACTGTCCTTGCCCAATTATTCTTTGGGACAAGCCCACGCAGCATACTTTCCCACTCTATCTCTCTTAGTGTTGTCTCCTACTTTGGAAAACACAAGGTGAATGCCAAGGCATAAGGTGGAGAGTAGCCACTTTGGAAAATTTGGGACCACTTAACCCTACTGCTGGACTTCCCTAGGACCTTTGAAAAGGGTTTTGCTTTGGCTTATTATATTCTTTGGCTTACGATTAATATCCACTATCTAACTGAAAGTGGCTGCCAAATGGAGACCTCTATCTTTTTTCTTTTTTTAAGTGAGACACCGTTGAATTCAAATATCACTTACATGGCACCGAAAGATGCCTTCTGTGCAGAGTAAAATCCTTCAACCATTTTAGCATCAGTTCTTTCTAATAGTTAATTAATAAGTGGTACCATATCCTCTTTGTGAGTAAGGTGAACACCATGAGCCCTTAGGGAGCTACTCTTGGCTGTGTTCTGCAGACTTTAAAGCATTTCTTAGTTGGAAGCATTACTTATTCAGTTTGCTCTGCTTGGAATCTGGTCTCACCAGGGAACCAGATGTTCCATATTCTTGGCTACTAACCTGACATCTATTTGAAGTCCAAACAGTTAGAAACAAGCATCAATAACTTGTTCCTTTCTTCTGAAGAGAGACATAGCAACACCAGTGAATATTTACTTTGGCCTCATCCTCCATGCCCTGGAGGCTCATTCAACTCTGATCTCTACCAGGAGCATGTATTTGGCCTTAGGAAGGTCAGAATTGTTTATATCTGGAGCCACCTTGATAGAATCACCTAGATAGGTCAACTTTGGTCCTGGTCAGTTTTGACTCTAGTACTCAGGAATTTGGGCCATTGATTCTGGTGTCTACAGCCAGAACAAAATCTCATGAATTGAGTAGAATCATCTCAGTTTCCCCAGATCTTTGTGGGTTCCTTCACACACCCATAAATCCCTCTTTTACAGACATCCCCTACCCAACTTTTACGGAGAGGATTCACCATAGTTCTTTCCTTCCCAAGACTCTTCCTTGACACTAGGTTGGTGCTATTACTACCCATTTTCCATTTCCTGATATTTCTGCCTTTTTAGATAGAGAATGCCTTAATCCCAAAGAGCAGACAAATGGGTTACTTACTTGGTTCCACAGTCACATGAGTTCCTTTCCCAAAGATGAGCTTGTATCACAGCACTCAAGAGGTTTCTAAAAACCTCAGCAACATTTCCGCCTTCTTTCCTCTCATTGCTCTAAGACTGGAGGATCTTTAGGACTTGGCTCCTTGAAAAATGGCACTTCTTTACCCAGCTGGTCCATGACGATATAATCAATAACAGATAGGGGTAGGATTGACTTTGGGAGGTATCCTGGATTGAATTATGTCCCCCCAAAAAACGTGTGTATCAGTTTGGCTGGGCCATGATTCCTGTATTGTGTGATTTTCCTGTAGGTTGTAAATCCTGCCTCTATGATGTTAATGAGGGAAGATGGGCAGCAGTTGTGTTAGTTAGGCAGGACTCAATCTACAAGATTGGATTGTGTCCTGAGGCAATCTCTTGAGACAGAAAAGGGAGAGGTGAGCAGAGAGGCAGGGGGATCCCATACCACCAAGAAAGCAGTGCCAGGAGCAGAGAGTGTCCTTTGGACCCAGGGTCCCTGCGCAGAGAGGCTCCTAGTCCAGGGGAACATTGATGAGAAGGCCAAGAGAGAGAGAAAGCCTTCCCCTGGAGGTGATATCCTGAATTTGGACTTTTAGCCTA